GGGGGGAAGAAGGGGGTTGCTGGCTAGGCGACGGTGGGGTTGGCTCGCCTCTACCTCTCACCCCCTAGTCCCCTAATCTGCCGCCATCCCGCTCGATCCTACTGTACACCCCTTTGTGAAAGAGAGGGTCCGCCATACGAGAATATCATAGAAGGGTGCCGCCATAGAAAAGGAAACCCTCGCATTTCGTACTTTCCTTAGCCGCTTAAAAGCGCTATATGGCAACTGGGACCGTTTCTTTCTGTGCTTTCTACGGAGGCTTTCTCCGTAATAATAGATTATAAATCCTTTAATCCTCTGCGCGACGTTTCACATACGCGACGTTAATCGTAAGCGCCGTCGTATCCGTTATTGTTATCAATACGCGTCTGCATCAGGCGGAAATGAGAATGAGCATATCTTGCAACAATTTGCGACTAATTATCATTACGGGCAGGCGTGGTTTAATTAAAAATAAAACTCATTTTAATTCCGAATCATATTTAGCTGTCTGACGCCGCATTTGGGTAGAGATATCGAGATTGGAGGAAGAACGAGGTGAAGCCATACCTGTGGATCGGTACCTCGAAAGTTACGGGGTCCCGCTGCAGTTGATTAACGATGTGAGCGTCCAGGTCGAGGTGGGTGGCGCATGCCTTTGTGACAGCACAGCCGCTCCTCCGCTCCTCGACATCGCCACCGTTGCTATCACGGATTATTATAACTCGTACGTTTCATCTGCCTTCTTCATCGGCTGTTCAGTAGACATCGAAATGGTCACCGGTTATCGTCACGTTCGTTAATCTACGCGGTGGTTCGAAGCCCAACTTTGTATACCCCCTTCGAGAATAAATAACAAAAGTCTCTCCGCGAAGTCAGTTTTTTTTAATATTATTTTTCATGCTGAATAGTTTCGAACATGAAAATCGCAATTTGATAAATTTCTTGTCAAAGATTTCAAACAGAGACAGAATGAAAATTGCGTATTTAAGCATGATTTTCCGCCGTGATGTATTTTTTTCTATATACAGGTATCTGTTTTGCACAGAATTATTAACAAGTCATAGCCGGGCTTTTGCTCTGCTATCATATATTTGATAAACCTATTTATTCTGGTGAATATACAGGTGTCTAGTATCAACGTCGCGTATTATCAGTGCATTTGAAAAGCAGTGAATAATATGACGATGATGACAAATAGAAATAATTTATAAAAATACTATAAAACTTTTTATATCAATTATATCATTTTTATAAATAATTAGACAACACATCCAAGAAAATAAACACGTGCTAAGAATAGTAGAAATTCGTTTGTCAGACAATACGCGGCGGTAGCATTGTATGCATACTTAAAATTTAGATGTATAATATTTCGATGTTTAATTATTTTGTGTTAAAGTTAATGCGATATCGTTTAAATCTTTTTAAAATAATAATTATTTCTATCCAATAAACGTTTTATTTTGTAACAAAATAGTATAAATAATAGGATTAAATAAGATAAAGTTTATTAATTTACAATAAATCTCATTAGCATAGTATTACGTTACATGGTGGCCCATCGCTGATAGAACAACCAAGACGGAATCCATTTTGCGAAATGAAATGAAATGAGCCGGGGTCCAGCGAGAGAAGAGAAAAGAAGGAGAAGGCGGGTGAAAAGGATAAGGGTCGATCTGACGAGGGTACCTACCCTATATTGGCAGGCGTGGCTGCGGGTTGCAGGGTGCAAGAGGGTTTTGAGGGATCGCTGATTGGTTCTCTCCAGCGAGATCGACTGGGAGAGAGAACGAAACCGCGTGAACATGGGATCTATGGGGCTGAAATGTCGAAGGAGACGAAAGCGCACACTTCCCTCCCTTCAAAAGGGGGTACGAGCGCTTTTATTCATGTATCACGGCCCTTTAATAAAATGCGCATTTATGCGAATGCTCCTCTTACACGCGGATAATATCTGACATACGAATTTTTATCATTCCGTTTCCTATATTTCTTGGTTTCATTATTAGTCAATATTACTTCCATAATTTCAGAGAATGTTCATGCTTATTTCTTTATTTTTGGAGAATTTCTTTTTAGAATAAATTAATTTCGCACGCACTATCGTTTGCGTTTGGTAATATAAATTGGAAATACTAAAATTTCTTTCATCATCCTGTTAGTAATGCACACATAATTTAATGTATCCTGCATTTCCTGCAAAAATTGATCTTACATGACAATTATTTAACAGCTATTTATTCTACGAAAAAAGTCTAAAAAAAGGAAATCATCGACATATTTTACCAATTTATATTCAAATATGAATAATATCACGTGACAAAAATGTTTCATTTCAATGTACGCTGCAAAAAAATTGACGCAATTATTTGCACTATTTAATCAGATTGCAACAAGCGACTAGAAATTTTTATCCAGTATTGAAATGTTTAATACAGCGAAAGGAAACGTTTGAATTAATTACCAGATATTAAGGATAACAAAAAAATTGTCTTATGTCATTTCATACTCGACATTTTCATTATTGTAGTTTAAGAGATGAGAAAGAGAGAAAAAGAGCGAAGGAAAATGCTCGCTTTTGATAACGTCATTCGATGTCGGGTCTGCGAGTTGAACTTGGGTATGAGGGACACCAAAGTTTTCTGGGTGACGGCGGCTGGAGGGTGACTGGCGCGATTGCAAGCCTCTGGATGGGTGATTGATTTCCTTTGAATGATTAAAGAACGCCGAGGAAGGGCAAAAGAGTGGGAGAGGGCATAACATTCGATAGACTCATCAAACTTTCTCAGGAAAATATTAAAGTTCTTTCCGAATAAAGCGAAGTGAATAGAACGTCGTAACTGTTCACCTCAAGAAATCGAACTTTTACATTAAATAGCTTTTACATTATACTCGCTCTCTAGCAAACGTCCTTCATTTGTTCGGCAAAAAAACTATTGTCTTAAAAATCAAAATTTTCAATATTTATAGAATTGTTTTATCTTGCAAATCTGAAAGTAGGCACACATTAAGAATGTGTCTTAAATTTTTGTCTTAATAACATGCTTCGAGAAAAATTAAATGCGCACGTTATAACACGTGGTTTATTAATTAGAAACAAATTTAAGCATAATATATGTTTTATGTAAACAATTATTTGTATCCTTATACATGCGTAGCAAGAAAATATTCTAAATTTTTTTAAATACGTTTAAAACTTACCTTTGTCGGCAGTTTTGAACAGATGAATGTGTTCCAAAATATCGGTAACATATTTTAGACAAAGAAAAAAGATAAAAACGTTTAATATATTCTAAAATTTGTATGGCATTGTTCTCGATTTTTGTTAGGATTTAGTTTTGAATTCACCCCTATAAACCTTTAGTCACAATGACAAAGAAGAAGAAAAAAGAAGAAATCGTATTGTGTGTCAATGACAGTTCTTTGACAGGTCCTCTTTGATTTATGGTCTTGCAAAATTTCTTTGCGGAACATTTTTTCTACTTCTGTAGAATTTTGGAAACTTTAAGAATAGATTGTACAATAGAAAAACATGATAAAATCTGATACAACAAAAGAAGAATAATAATTATAAATTAAAATAAGAATAATAATAATAAATTCGAAGAAAGTACATACCGCAAATCTATATGAAATATTCACACTTTTCCACATAACAAACATCAGATATTTGTTCAAAAATTTTATAATAAATTTGCAATTTATACAATCAATAGATAAATATCTAATTTATACAAATTTTTAATACTAGATATTTTAAAAGACATTATGTCTGAAATTAAGTTTCTATTAAGATGAAAAGTTATACAGATTAAAATAGATTTGCAAACCAAGATATTTTTATTTTCAAGCTTTTATTAAATTATTAATTTTCAATGTTCCATTACTTTTTAATTACAGATGTCTTTCTATTAAAATGACACAAGTGTCCTTTTAAAACATATGTTTTCTGTAATTGAAGGAATGATCGATAGTTTTCGTATACATTATATAACAATCATAAGTATGTGTGAGATAATATCATTTAATAAAACAGAAAAATTCATCGCAAAAATGACGCACGGATACACGAATAATCGCAACGGATACCAAGGTTCAATGACCGAATGTACGAATGTAGATACGGTGCGCCGATGAACGCGTTGCATCGGAAATAGTAAGATTGCGCACAATCGGGTTGTTGAGAATTTTCCTATGTAGTTGAAGTAAAGTTGGAAGTAAGATAAAGGTCGATAGGAGTATCAAAAGGGGGAATGAAAGATAGCGGTACTGCTTACGGAGGGTTATTGTGCGTCCATCGGTTACGGCTCATCAGCTGCTGTAACTCCTATCTTCGCCTTTCGTAAGAAGGATCGAAGGTCCCAAGGCGCCAACTTTATCCTATTTCTCCTTCATCGCGTTTCTTGTCACTTTTCACCCGACTATTCTATGATGCTTTACCTGGCTTTTCTGATTGTCATAAATCTTTAAATTACTACTAAGCTGCGCAAATTGCTTGTCCTGCATGTTTTCGACATACAAACGTGACAGATAAATCCCTCGTGGTTTGTAAAAGCTTATTCTCGATTTCTTCTAAACTACACACTAAGTTTCTTTTCTTTTTTTTTTAAGTACAAATGCAAATTAATCCAAGGTGATTTTACTTGGTGCAAAATATCTAACGAAGGTTAAGCATCACTATCGTTATTACGTAAGTCCGCAAACGTGGCGCTGTTTGTATGCAGGAAACTGACGTCACAATTATCAATACCTATTTTTAAACAACCTAACACACATAATTATGAACCATGTGTGACTTACCTGCGAGGCGATCACGCTTTAATTCGAAACCATTAGTGTGAGGCGAATCGATTGCGATTTTCTGTCGGCCCGCAGAGTTTTTGAAAAATGAGTAGCTCTTCTCGTCTCAAAAGTGGTTCTAAAACGCTTGAAAAAATGCGACACAAATCCATTAATCTTGCTAGTCTGACGCTGCTATGTGCTCTTTCTTCGTCTCCCGCTCTTTGAACCATCGTGCCTTCGGGACATCCCTTTGCACTTACCTTCGGCAACAACATTTTTCCAGAGTGCTATTTCTTAGTTTTCCGAAAGGTGCCGCCTGCTAGTCTGTGTGTTTCAAAAAGCAGTCTCTAGCAAATATTAATTCTAAAGATGAGAATACGAATTATATGTATCTCTTTCCACTGCAGTGTTTATCTAAACATTTGATCTTTTATATTTTCTTGGAAAATATAAAACGTAGGCTGGTACGTAAACTGAGATGTCCTGGTCCTTGGCCTGGTCGTGCGAGAACAATTAACCGCATTTTTAGGTCGTTATTCATATCAACTGCGTAGGGTCTGACCCATTTTTTTCAAACAATACCAAACATTTCAATGTGTGCAAACTCTTTCTGAATAGAAGGCGTCGTGATTGTCATGATGGTTAACCATGGGTGGTAATACGAACCCATTATCCTTTTTCTTTCTTATGGCTCAGGCAATGATCCTGTATTCTCTTAAACCGTTCAAACAATCCGAAGACCACCTCTGTGACAAGTCATGTGTACTAACTATTCACTGCTGCAGGTAAACTGACAATGCTTGAGATATACGTTACTCGAGATATACGTTACTCATCGTTCGCAGCTCGTCGTGTATCGCAAAAAAGCTTTCGAGAATTTATTTACTTAAATATTTGGGATCAGCAAAAAATTTCAAAGCAACTAACGCATATAAGAGCACATTATTAAATATATCTATGAATAATACAGAGTTACGGTATAAACTGCGCATTGTCGCATTAATTATCGCTATTAGCATAATGATGATGGATTTGCATCTTATTTCTTAGTGAGTAATTACTTGTTATTGCACTGAGCACACTTTTTGATTCATCCACTCATACAGTATGCGGCTGTACAAACCGCGCATTCCATATATATTCTTGGATGACCCCGGATTTGTTTGAGGAAGAGTGTCAAGATTGTCAAGGGGGATTGGCGCTAACGACGCTTCGAATTGCAAAGGTAACGAGCCACTTTTGCGCCTCTTCATGCGTCGTCAACATAAACGGCTACGCG